TTTTCAATTTTACGAATAAATCGCAACAGATTATTCTCAACACAACGCTGCCAAAAGTCTCATGGCTAACTCTTGCAGAGGCGGGGAAGAAGCACACACATTAGGGTGGGACGATTCTTTTTTACTAAATCATATGGTATTTTCCGATCCTACAGATAATTCTCAGCTGAAGTGTAGAAGAAACCATAGATCGAAAATGTGTTTCGATCCTGGGCATTTTTAAGCGAAAAAATACGTTTGTACAAAATTTATTTTTTCCCCTTTTCTTCAAATTTTATTTTCTAAATATTGTTGTTTCTTTTCGTTTATTTATCCAAATACATATGTTGGTACTTTCCGTTTCTGTTTACTGTCAAGGCAATGTAGTTTTGTTCCCCACCTGTCTGGTTATCAAGCTATCTGGTACCTAATGTGGTTATTTTTTATGCATGTGAACCTGCAACAAAGTTCAATTCTTCCATTTCCTTGAAGGGATTTTTATGATTTTAGACCTTTAGTAAAGTTAATATGATTTATTCATATTGTTTTTGTTTTTACACACCTTTCATCTTTTAAAAATATACGATTTCATAAAATTTCAATGTCTATTTATCATATTGCTCCAGCGTTAGACGATCTAGAGTCCATACCCATAAGTAGCCCATTACGCCGATTTGCGTACTTTTTATGTAAAAATGCAAATTTTTTAAAATGCTATAATCAAAAAAAAAATAAAAAAATAAATGTTTAGATATTTTTTTTTATTTTTATACGTTGCACATTAATGTAAAAAATGTACAATTAAAGCCCATAATAAGACGGAAGAAATATTTTTTTTCATTAAGTTTCGTTAAAAGGTTTTCAAGATACAACACTTTAAAGAAAGGTATGTATGACGTTTTCCTCAAATTTAAGTCCCGTGTAAATAGGCAACCTGTCATATCGGCAAAATATGCTGTACGTATATTCATGTCATCTAGACCTTCAATCCCTTCAACTTTCGTCCAAATCCTGAGAGGTCCCGCACAGAGGTGGGAAAACCAGTTACTCCCGAATGAAAAATAAATTCGTTATAAGTACCAACACTTATAATTTAGTCGAGACTTGCATTGCCGATTTAGTTTAGAAGTTATTAGAGGACCAGCCAATACCACGACTTGAAATACTGAGGCATGTTCCTCAAGAGATGTTTGCCCTCGTTACTTGTGCCAATGAATATATATTCGGTGGTAGGTTAAACAATGCATCTAGAGCAGCCCATGTGTTTTAGGCGCCGCATTCTGCGATCATTCTTTGAAGTTTGACAAGCAGATTTTCCACGCTGTTGATTAAGAGTTTGCTCTACCCCACCTTAGATGCATGGCTGATTATCTATGTTGTCATAGAGGTGAAAATCCGCAAGATTCTCGTAGGTGACAGACCCGACGTTATACCAAAGACCTCTTTACATTGCCAGGGCGCTGATTACATCTAAATACTTCGGGACAAATTTGAACACTGACTCCTTTAAGAACACGGGGAATAAGGCCGTTCGACCTTCTCCTCTCAGTGAAGAGGACCACACTAATTTTGGTTGGGTTAGCGAATAGCCCATTCTTACTACATCAAGTGTCAATCTTATTGAGTGTTCCTTTCGCTTTCCTGCAAACAACTGACAGGGAAGGGCCACATTATCTGCATAGCCCTCAGCGTAGATATTAGAGTCGTTTAGGTTAACAGGTAGGAAATCAATTTCCAAGCACCAGACGAAGGGCAAAGCTGCGCAGACCAGAGGGTAGCCACTAAGAACTCCTCATGTGAAATACGACGTCAACTAGGTGTCATGATTAAGGTACCTCAGCACCTTCTTTGAGTACAATGAATAGGACACTATCCGTTCCGAGCGACTTGAAGCTGACAAAAGATTCAATGACATAACTTATGTTGCTTTTAGTCCATTACCTAGCCCAAAGTAGCAGCTGCAGGAGGTCCTTTCTAATACGGACGATGCTTAAAGTTTTGCTCAACGTCATTCTACATAGTCGAGTTGGTTTTTCGGGGACTTCAAATTTAGAAATGGCAGCTTCTCGAAGCGCTGTTAAAATCGGCTTTGAAGTTGACAAAAAGATGGTGTGCATCAATTTGCTAAAATAAGGTCTTCTAGCATAGAGTGGATTGTGTGTCCTGGCCTAACAGACGTCCAAAGTGCACTTGATATGTATGGAGGGAACACTTCTCAACCCTTTTGAAAAGCGGCAGAGGTAGAGCCTCTAACGAAGAAAAACTCCGACATATGTGTGTTAGACGAAACTCAAGCACCACCACTCAACCAAGTCGAGGTGAAAACCCGGCTTATGAACCACAACCCCACTGGCGATGATAGAATATCGGATGGGCGGCGGCAAAGAGCTGATAAGACGCACGTACTAGCTGTTAAACGCAATTTGGTGTAATGACTACATACCCGAAGATTGGATCCTAAATTCACAAGAAAGGAGCTGCTGTTTACGCCAATTACCGTGGGGTAAGCCTTCTTAAAATGGCATACAAGATCATTCGAAAGACTCAAGGCATTCATGAACCAATAGATTGGACCTATTAGTGTGACTTTATAGTCAGAAGAGTTAATAGATTAAGCAGGAATTTCTCGACCGTCAATTGTGACTGTAGCTTTTAGATATCGAACTGTCATCGTCTGCCTATCCTAGATTCTTTATTTTACAGATGCTGCAAAAATGTAGCGATGAATAAGTTTAAGAGCAACGTTATAGAGCGACGATTATCAAGGGAAAGTGTATCAGGAAGATATCGCACGCCGTCTTCAAGAGAGTCACAACTCAAAATAATACGTTCGTCAGAAATCATATATTTCCTTACTTTAAGGTCGAAAATTCTTCCGAATGAGTAAAAAATTCTCCCGAATGAGTAATTTTTCTATGGAATGTGTAAAAACGTACATGAAAATACGGAACCGTGGATGTAATCTATCATTTTGAAGAAATGTTAGGCATGAAAAGAGGATAAAACTTCTTTAGTGCTATTTCGTTCCCATTTTTCTTCATTTTGATTTCTGTTTTTCTTTAATTAAGAGAAGTTTTTTTTTTGAGTGTAGGGAAGGGCGACTTTACCTTAGATTTTTTAACAAATTATAACAAAAATTTGCTCCAGCTCTGTGTACATTTTTAGCGCATAATTTCCAAAATGCCTAATTTTGAGTTTCCCACACAGATTTGTCTTAAATACTTAACACATTTTCGTCCCTTTTAATCAATAGCCCTAAATCTTATAAATAAGGAAAAGTACCTAATGCTTACAAATGACTTACATTTTTTTAATAACTCTAGCAAGAAAACCTTTTATTAATTACACGAAAACATTATTTATTTGTTTAATTTCAACATTAAATTTATTTTTTTTTTATTATAAAATAAACTCACACTGTATTTTTCATTAAACTTAAATTTAAATTATCTGCAATTAATAAGTACAGTTAATAAATTAATAAAGCCAGCTCTATCAAAGCTGTTTAGGAGTGAGCCAAGCAAACTTAAAAATTTAAAAAAATATTAAAATTAAAATAATAAACTGAAATTATTTAAATAATCATGCTAACTAAAAACAACTTATTTTGTTAAACTAGTTTTCTTTTTATTGCAGTATAGTATTTGTTTTTATTTTAATTAAGATTTTTACTTTTGTATGGTATATTGTTTGTCACTAACGGTTAATTCATAAAAGAGCTGCAGTAAAACTTATAAACAAATTTGATATTTTTTGTTATCTTTTGAAATGAACATTAGGCTGGGTCGCGAAAAAAAGTTTTCCTTTACTCCACTATTTTGAAAGCTTGTTTGAGGAGTATTTCGGCTTTATGAAACTTTTCGTTCTTTGCAGACGTTAAAATGAGCCAAAATTGAATTTTCTGCGAAAGGTTTTTACCTGTAATTCGATTTAAAAATTGCATAGTATATAGCTAAAAAGTTAATTGTAAGTACTATACACATGTATATCCTTTGAAGCTTTTAATCTAGCTGCTGTGAACAGTAAAATCAAAGCTTTACAGAAAATTAAGTATTTTAGTATTTATGTATATACATATAACCTACGAACCTTTTCATGATTTCAAAGAGATGTATAGCCCTCGACTTAAAGACTTTTGAAGGATGAATCACACCTTAAAATCGTGTCGTTTAGAGAAAAAAAAGTTATGGCAACACTCGGTTTTTTAGTAGTTTTGATTTCTTAGGATGCTATAAAGAAGACAATTTGTATAACAACAAAGTCCTTTCGAAGGTAACTTTCAAACTACAAAGCTTATACAATTTTTTTTTCGTGAACGACCCGGCCTAATGTATAATTATTTATTTTTCTATCTGTAGCAAAGGCAGTGCTTTACATTTAAACCAAATGAGAATATACAGTTCTTAACAGTTATGTTTTTTTTTATTTACACATAGCAAAAAGTGTATTAAAAAATTATAAAAATTACTATTAGAGTTCGTTTTTGTCGTTTTTCGGTAGTATTTATTTTTAGTGCTAGTGCAGTGGTGTTAAACTTAAAAGTTAGCATTACTATACAAACATTCACATACACATAGTACACGCGCACATTTCACACATTCAAATTTTTCTTAATATTTAAAATTAGTAAAATTAATATTAGCACTTTTTGCTTTCATAACAGCATACAATAATTTTTTGTTTTCAATTAATTAATTTATCATATACAAGGCAACATTAGATTGTTTAAACTTTTCTTAACTATTTTTTTTTGTATTTTAGTAATCTTTATATTTTACATTTTATTAAAAGCGTCGATAAAAATGTTAAAAGCACATTTTTTGTCGTTATTGCGGCAATTTCTCCTCAACTCAAAATTAATTTGGTTCTCTTTTTTCCCGTCAGCGAGAAGCGAAGGCAACAATGAATCTCTTGACTAGCAAAGATAGTAAATTATTTATAAAATATTAAAAATTAATTATAAAAAATTAAAAAGAAGACATTGTTACACTTTTTTGACATATCTATAAAAAAAACAGGAGTTGAGTTTTGAAGTCAAACTTTCTCATTTCGTTCCACTTCGTTTTGGTTAGTTACTGCGCAGGCGCGGATTGTAGCTGCAAAAGTGTTCCAGCACCGTCGTTTTCATCGCAAGTTATGTATTACTCGCGTAACGCGTTTATCAACGGCTCGTGTTACGCGCACTTGAACGCATAGTTACAAAAAAATTAATCTCAATACGAGGCTGCCCTGCCCTGAAAGGTCCATAAGCATCAAAACTTGATATGTTTGAGTATGTATGTTTTGAGATATGGTGGGTAATCGCGGCATACCGAGTGTACAGCGCGCGCGCTCACAGATGTTCGTCGCCATGGTAACCATTTCGTAATGGCTGGCGCTCCATGGAGTGATCGCGTGGCCGATTGCGATTGAAGAAGCCGCACTGGAAATAGAGAAAGAGGGCAAAAATTGCGTTAGTATTAAAGTCAAACATCGATTGTTTTGCTTCGGCCACCCACCTTATAGAGCAAATAGACCAACAACAGCAGTATGAGTGCACCTGCACACGCTGCCAACACCACCACCCACAGCGGCACCACATCGGGTACTGGTATCGGTTCCGGCACCGCTTTGTAGAATATTTCATGTGTCTTTATAATCGGCACTTTTGGTTCGCCAATATATGGCAGTCGTGTTACATTCGACGCCGCCATTGTGGATACGTTCAAGGGCAAATTACCAGCCAATTTCTCCATTGTCTTCGCCACAGTACGCATGCGTATGGCCACCCAGACGCCATCGTCCTTGGCAAGATTCTTTGCTACACAACGCAACGTCTGACATTTCGCCGCCTTACAGGGCGAAACCCAATCGATTTGCGTGAGTTCATCAGCTTCGGCACCGGTGGCGCCTTCACGTAGCTGCGAGCTCGATCCGAATGCGGCATGTGATGCCTGCTGTTGGCTACCTTCTTCGTTGTGGTAGCTCTTTGAGCTGCTGGATGAAGATGAAGCAGACGATTGATGGTAGTTGCCGCCACTTTGTTGTGCCTGCGCAAAGTGCGCACTCCTAGCGGATGACTGTTGATGGCCACCCTGTTGCTGCACACCTTCCTCGTCGTAGTAATCTTCATTTTCCATGCCATAATAGGGTTTAGTGCCACCAGGCGAGCGTACGCGACGCATATAGGACTGCTGGTAGCCATAGGATGCGCCGTTATTGCCGCCATATTGTCCGTCGTGTTGGCGCAGCTCGTTGTCGACATTATCACGGTTGATTGTGCCCAAATCCAACACGCCTGCTTGGAAGCCTTGACCGCCCGTAGCGGACTTCTCGAAATTGCCACCACCGACAACACCGCCAAAGTTGTTGTAATTGTTGTTGGTATTGTAGCTGGAGGCAGTTGCAACTGAGCCGCGACGCGCGTCGTATGGCTGATATGACTTTTGCTGCTGCTGTTGTTGCAGTAAACGCTGCTGTTGCTCCTGCTGCTGTTGTTGCTGGTTGGGCCGATACGCGCCACCCGACGAGCCCAAATAATTCGAGTAAGTCGATTGCTCTTGCTGGCCACTACCACCTGGACCGGCCATTTGTATATGGCCGCGTGTGCTCTGTGCGCCTTCGTAGTTGCCATGACCGCCGCTACTGCCACCGAAACTGCCGGCTTGTTGATAATTTGCTGAGTGCTGCTGTTGCTGGTGTTGATTCAATGGTTGCGCGTAATACTGGCCCGCTCGATCCAAATCAGTTGAGTATTCCGTGCTGCTCTCCACAACATACGGCCGACCGCTGGCATCATAACTGGTCGTAGTATTTTTGGTGCGCACTATTACCATGGGACCGCGACCACCACCATTTCCGCCTGCTGATGATGATGACGAGGACCACTGATAGCTGTTACCAGTGCCTGCGCCTGCGCCTCCAGCGCCATCACCAAACCCAGCACCACCACCATAGTTAGCTTGCGAGCTCGACACAGCGGCCTCGTGGGCGCGTTGTATGTGTGTAGCCGAGGCATCACCAGGCACCTCCTGCTCGTCCTCCTGCTCCAGGCGTCGCTTTTCTTCAAGCGTCAGTTCTTTGGTGCCGCGTCCTATAGTCACAGCTGTGCCAGCGGCGCTACTGCCATCAGACTTTTCAACACCACTGTAAATTGTTGAACCGGAACTGCTACTGCTGCCGCTGGTGGTGTCGGTGGAGAAAATCACACCTCGCTCTCTTAGGTACGACTTGTACATCAAATTTGTGTCCAACTTTAATCTGAGTGGATTGACTTCAAGATGTGGATCGCAAACAATGTTGCCATGCGTCTCTGGCTGGTTTAAAACGTACATTAGCAGGTCACCGCCCGCAGTTTCGTTGGGGTAGTGTATGAGTATGACGGCTTCTTCGATAAATGAGGGTCCATTGTTGCGTATATTGTAAAGGTGTACAACTTGCGGGCCCAAGTCCTCTTCCTTGGTGGCATTTTCCACCGCCAAGTAATCGGAAGCTTTGTACAGCTGGAAGTCTGGTAAAGAAGCGCTGCGAGAGAAGGAAAGGAAAAAAAATATTTGGTGATATATAAAACGGAAGACTACAGCACATTGATTAACTTACCCTTCGATAGCCAAATCTGTCTCGACCCAAATGTCGACGTTCTTAATTACAACATTGTCTCGACGATTGCCATCAATCTCCGAATTAGTGGAGTTAGCTTCCATGTAGAAGTGATAGCTCGGAGACATACCGAATCTTTGTGACGGTAACATGATGACGTTGAATTTAGCCTGAATGAGAAGTAGAAAATATTGTTTACAATATCCTTTATCCACAACGTTTGAGGTCAAGTCAAAAACTTACGAATTTCTGTCCCGGCAGTGGGTTGCCAAGATCACACTTCAGCGTATAGTTGTTCGTTTCCGATGGCGCCGAACAGGTTATAGGTGTATCGCCTTTTTCGACCAAATTCTCAATCTTAATAAAGTCCAAATCTTTCGGCATCTCCATGTAGAAAGCGGACTCGAAGGCATCTTCGTTACGATTCGTTACGGTCACCTCAACGACCAAAGGTTTACGTGAACCGTGCAAATACTTGTCGACAGTACTATTAGAGAAAAACGAACATTAAAAATAATCAAATCAATGAATCAATGCGCGCCACTTCCACACTTACACAATATCAAGCTGCAGATCGGGTATGCAAATGTTATCCAGTNCACTTCCACACTTACACAATATCAAGCTGCAGATCGGGTATGCAAATATTATCCAGACCACAATTCTTTTGTATATTGATCGCATCACGCAAAATGATCTCCCGATTCTGATCGATGACCGGTTCGAGTGCGTCACGCTTGCGTCTAATCACCGGTGCCATGCGTCGCCTGCTACGCAAATCGTAACGCATCTCCACCTCCAGTGGCGTCAGCTTGTCCTGCACATTGTCCACCAGATACACCGTTTCGTTGCGACAGTAGGTCTTGCCATATTGCAAACTAATCGACAGATTGCGTATATTTTTGCCCTCGTCAAGCAGGAAGAACATACGTGGCTTCTTCGGTTTCTTCGCATCCAACACCCAGGATACATCGAATTCCAAACTGCCCGGCAAATATTCGCCCGTATAACTCCAACAGGTCATAATTTCAGTGCACGCAACACGTTTGCCGTCGCGCACCGTCTGACAGCTGCGATCATCCAAGCTAATCAACTTGGACTGATTGACAAATGAGGTCATTGCATTCACGGCGGCGACGGGACGTGATTTGAAAATGAACACTTGATCGGATGCATAAGCGCCCACAGCTAAATCGGGATACGTATTGCCGTCCATGTCGAGACCGCCAGAAAGTGCGAAGCCAAAAGTGCGTGGATATGGCGCGCCCTCCACAATATCTTCTGCCTTGATGATCTGTGAGGGCTTCAACAGCGGTCCATTGGGCGAACCATGGAAAATGTAAACGATGCCACGACCTTCGGAACCGTCGTACGGTGCACCCACGGCAAAATCGCCATAACCATCACGATTGATGTCACCCAGTGTGGTAAGTGCCAAACCGAAACGTCCTTTGGTGTTGTAACCATCGCGGATGTGCTCGATAGGCCAGCGCTCACCCTGTGGAGCGCACGTTAATTAAATAACCTCTTTAAAATTTTAATGGCTACTTGTACTTACTGTCGCCTTCTGCAGCAGTATATACACACGACCGACATCATATTTGCCCTCCACATTGCCAAGTTCGCTGTACATTGGCGCACCAATGATCAAATCATCCAAGCCATTGCCATCCACATCGACGGTGGTTAGCGCATAGCCAAAATATTCGCCAATCTGATGGCCGGTGAAATTGAATATATTTGTCATATTCCAGTGATTGACGACGATTTTGCCCAGCAAGCCGGCGCCGCGTGGCATGCCAATAGCAATATCCTCGACGCGATCGCCATCAAAGTCACCAGTGATCATTGAGTAGCCCAAGTAAGAGTCGTCATCCTGCGAGCTACTTTCGGCGGTGGAGTAGACTTGATTCTCCGGGCGTGTGACGTCGTACGAGTAAGTTTGACCTATTCGGAGTTTGATTAGAAAACATGAAATTTTCTTAGTGATTTTTTGATTTATTTAGCATCAAGTAACTTATTTATTTACAATTATTTTGTTTTCGTAAGTTTCAAAGCGGTTAGTAAAAGCATTGCGTATGAAATGCATAAAATTACTTTTGCTATCTTTGAATACATGAATATGCTACTTGTATTCTGGTTAGTTGAATGTGAGCCGAAAGTAAGTGGAAGTTAGAGAGACAAGTTAGATTGCAATCACCAACTTAATCGACAAACGTAGTTAAAATTATTATTAAAAATAATAAATATGATGCTCTAAACTAGGACTTATGTAAATTGAAAAGAAAAATTAATTTGATGTTTACATAATATGCATTAATTAGTAATACTTTGTTTACATAATGAATAACTTGATCGATATGATAAGAATGGGATAGTATATCTTCTACACTAAGCACGGTATTTATTCAAAAATGTTTTGGTGACAGAATAATTTTGAATTAAGTTTCGCCTGCAAAAACAGTTTACTATATTTTTAGCTCGCACCTGCGTAGTATTCAAACAATCTTTTTTTATTTTAATTATATCGTAGGTGGTAGTTGTTGTAAATTTTTAATTCCGATTATCCAAAGAAGGAAGGGCAAGCTTACCCCATTCAGCACCCTGTCCGAATATGCAATCAAAATTCTTTAAAGTTGCGGTGCTTCGCGATTCAGACCTGGGTACATGGAAAATTTAAAACTAGCTTCGCAAAAAATTCTCTGCTCTTATTAAATTACCGCTATTAACTTTTCTGATAACACAAAAGCCGGCACTGATACCAAGGAAAAACTAGTGTAAGTAAAATTTTCTTTCCTTAACGAATGTCTGTGCTTTTTCTTATGAAATTTAGTTTTTTTAACAATCTGGACACCCTAGTTTCAAGTCATGTTTTATGATATTCATTTCCCGGTACGTGATTTTGTGCTTGCGCAGCGGATTTCGATAAATTCGATACAATATGATTTTAATGGGCTTTCGACTGCGCATAGTGCGGGGACAGCCATATTTTACACGGTCGAATTTTCTACGAATCTTCCAGAATAACTTCACAAAAATTTTATTAATTTTCGGTGGGCACAACATCCGAAATATTTTGCCTTTTTGGTAGCTGCATCTTTGGTCGCGATTGAGGACGGTTTAGGTGTGTTGCACAGGGGGCAAAATACAGATTCCTCTATAGAGACTAAAAAAGTTAAATTCGTTACCACCATAGTCGAATATATCACACATAAATGTTGGTCCCGATTGAAGTCGGTTAATACGTCTTCATAGCGTAATCTAAACTTTGACCCCAGTGCGACACGTCTTAACCATTTCCAATCGGGATCAAAATTTATATGTGATATCTTCGACTATAGTAGCATCGACGTAGGCGTTGAGGCTTAGGAAATCACATGTAAAGATTTGCTTCCTACATAAATATGTCAAGAACTACTATCAAAGTCAATCTGGAAAAGAGCTATTAGAAAGCCATCTGCTTTCAAGTTCCTAGTTCCATAATTTATGATGGTACTGGTGACTGTCTCTAGCTTACGTGTCCCTTTTATAGAATATTTACACTTATCGATGGTCCTCTGCAATAACGACACAACTAAACATTTCATATATTTCAGTTTCATAATTTTCCAATAATATGTCTTGGAACGTATTTATTCCGGACTATCTGCTGTCATTCTGTAGGGAAAATTTGTAAGCTTTCAAATTATGACTTTCTAAAGATTTAGTAAATTTTAGTCTGCAAAAATACGCAATAAGTAACAACACCTAAGAAGTTAAACGAAACAAACTCCATTATTTCACATAAAAGCATCACTAAGCTATCGAGAGTTTTTAACTTATGCCAATACTCACGATAAATGTGAGAGGTGTTCCTCTGTTCAGTAGTAAGGGTTGACTACTTCGGTATTTTGACAAATGGCAAAACTGCGCCTCTGCCGGGTTCGTAACAACTAAGCATATCTTGATTTCACACAGAAAAAGCCAGAAACCCAAAATAATTATTATCCTAATATTTGGGATCAAAATCGTCGCCTTGTTTTAAGGGAAATTTTGTTCGTAATTGTATAATAATTATTAACGAGAAATATCTTTTTTCGCCTCGCGGGATGTTTATTTCAAGACGAAAATGTATTATGTACGTCGAACGATGCAGATTTGATGACATGAACAATCGTGGTGTTAAATCTCTGAACTCAATTAAGAAGTTTTCAATAAAAGTCCCCGATAATTATTATGAGAAGACGAAAATGATTTCCATGGTAAATAATCGTCCCGCGAGACGAAAAAAAAATTAAAGTCACAGATAGTTAATAGGAGAAGATGAAAAAGTTTTTAGTCTAACGATTGTCGTTTCTACTGTGCAGTAATAATTATACACAATATTTAATTTTATTTCTTGTAATCGTTATGGTCTCTAGAAAAATATGGTTATTTATAAACCTAATCCGCTATATAACTCAACAACATAGAATTTTGAGTTGTGTCGTTATTACAGAGGACCGTCGATATGTACATATAAACCACTTCTTCTTTCTCTATTTCACTAAGACTTATTTAATGAACTGATTTTCGAGAATTTTTTTGCGTTTAAGGGAATATCCTTAATAATAAAAAAAAAACAGAAGCCGTAACTTTATCTGAGGTATAAGGCATAACATTGCGTGAGGATTTCTAAAACTCACAGAAAATAATGAATCATTTTCCATTTAAATTGCTGCTGAAACCGGCTGTATGTAGAATTTTAAGTGCTACATACAAAAATTCAACAATAAAGTCTAAGCACTGAACTGAAGTGATGTTCTTTGAATGAAAGTGCTTTTGAGTGATGCGATGCATAATTATGGTCAAAAATGTCGTGAGGAAGTTGTTTTTCTTTACAGCATTAAAAGTCGCAAAAATTATTTCATGTATAAATGTAGGTACTATAGGTATAGTTTTTTCCTATCGTGCGAAATTTAAATTATGATTTGTACACAAAAGTTCTNCGAACTGAAGTGATGTTCTTTGAATGAAAGTGCTTTTGAGTGATGCGATGCATAATTATGGTCAAAAATGTCGTGAAAAGTTGTTTTACTTTACAGCATTAAAAGTCGCAAAAATTATTTCATGTATAAATGTTTTTTTCCTATCGTGCGAAATTTAAATTATGATTTGTACACAAAAGTTCTGCAAACTCTTACTAATTACAAACACCATTTGCCAAATTAATTTAAGTAATAAATTTTTGTTAAAACTTAACCAAAATTATGTCTAAAAATAAGTAATAAATTTAGAATTTTGAGTTAGTATCGAAACCGACAACCAACAACAATGCTAATGGAGAGCCACAGAACCCTTGCGTTCAAGTACATGATAACACGGCAGACGAAAAGACAGTTTTACAGCAACAGCGACAGCGACAACAACAAAAGAAGCAGTGCGCAACATTCCGCAGCATTAATTTATTTTATTTTTTTGTTTTTTTTTTGCAATTACATAAGCCCATTTACATATTTACTTGTACCGCATTTATACAAGATATGGTGAGTTTGTATGTTTTATGTAGGTTTTTAGATGTCGAGTATTATCCAAGAAAAGCAACAAAAAATTTAGAAGCGAATGCCATTTAAATAAACCACATATTAATTNTAACAGCAACAGCGACAACAACAAAAGAAGCAGTGCGCAACATTCCGCAGCATTTATTTACTTGTTTTTTTTTTTTTTTTGCAATTACATAAGCCCATTTACATATTTACTTGTACCGCATCTATACAAGATATGGTGAGTTTGTATGTTTTATGTAGGTTTTTAGATGTCGAGTATTATCCAAGAAAAGCAACAAAAAATTTAGAAGCGAATGCCATTTAAATAAACCACATATTAATTGCATTATTGTGAAAAAATGTTTTTGCTTTTTTTAATTTTTTAATTTAGTGTTTTTATTATGATTTGTTTTTAAATTGCTTTGAAAAATTTCTACGATTTTTTCTTTCTTTACCTCCGGTGCCGAAGGGCTGATAAAAAGGCGGCTTATATGGAAAGGTTGCATCTGGTGATATTGAGTAGGCTTGTCCTGTTTAGTTTTTATATGGTTTTGGTTTTGTTATTTTTGTAGTTCGTTTTTATTTGGGGTCGCGAAAAAAATTATTGCGTAATTGGCCGGAGTTGGGGGTTTTTTTTTTGTTTGTTTTAAATTAATAGTTTTTATTTGAACGATTTTTATTTAGTTGGTTCATTTAAGTTGATTTTGGTTGATTGAGAAATAGNTGTTTTTATTTGGGGTCGCGAAAAAAATTATTGCGTAATTGGCCGGAGTTGGGGGTATTTTTTGTTTTGTTTTAAATTAATAGTTTATATTTGAACGGTTTTTATTTAGTTGGTTCATTTAAGTTGATTTTGGTTGATTGAGAAATAGCACAACAATAAAACAACAACAATTTGCAACGCATGAACAGCATGAAGTTATGTAGTTTTTAATACGAATTGGTAATTTTTCGTACAAAATAAATTTTTTGGTTTATTTGATTTTTGTAGGAAATGTGCAGAACCGAGCATTAAACGAGAAGAAAAACAAATAACAGTAGATAATAAAATAAATTAATAAATACTGTAAAAATATGACAAAGAGTACACTTAACAACAACATATACAATAGCTAATGGAAAATATTTGCAAAAATGCCGCGAAGCAATGATAATTTTATTTTACTTGAAATATAAATTTTAATTTTTTTGCAAATATTTTCGAAGTCTTGAAGATTAATGTGAATCTAAATAGAATAAATTCAGTTAATTAAGGAAATCTTATAGACATAGTTTTAACACTGATCACTGATACTTAAATACATTGGTGATTAGTGGAAAAAAAACAAATTATTATTAACAAATATATTTACAAATCTTAAGTATTATATTTAAGTATTGGGTCATATATACATAAATTCTGTGCGAATTGTTGTAATTATGTGGTATTGATATCCATACATTTGACAACTCAAATACAATTTCGCCAAACCGACGAGCGTTTGAAAGACGACATTTTAGGTAAAATGTTTAGTGTACTTCACCGCTCGTGCAAAAAGTTATACTGATTTGAAAAAGACTGAAAAAAATATCTAACGAAATTCAGACGGTGAAGATGCTGCGAGTGAACGTCCATGATTCCGTTGCGGAAAGTTGGCCGACCTAAGATCTGCTGAAAATCACTTGGCCAAGTTTCACGCCGATAAACCACAGAAATTCTACACCGATGGAGTTATGAAGCTAAACAAAAAACTGCCAAAAGGTCATACATACAGTGACTCAAAACAAGTGACCATGTTTTGATTTTTTTTTTTAATATTCGTAAGTTTTTCGAGCTAAATTGTTTTGATATTTTTCGATAAAAGTGCAATCCGTCCGGTAAAAATACCGGGTATGCAGTTTTAAAGTCCATAAAATTTCTATAGATTCAGATTTAAAAGTTGAAATTTTGATGTAAATTTATTAATTTTTTTTATTAAATTTTTATTAAATATGAAACTGTGATAGGGTTTTGGTTAAAGCTTGGACAATATTTTTATGGAATACCAAATTTAACTCGAAAAACATTGAATACTAAAAAAAAATCAACATGTGGTCACTTGTTTGAGTCACTGTACATAATGATGTACTTGATTAAAATCGATTTTCAATAAATAAAATTTACCAAAAATTCCGAGGAGACTTTTTATATGACCCAATATATGTTTTATAATAATTGTAAAATTATAGAGCTCGTAACGCTCGTTTTCTGGAAGAACGTAGTTAACGAAAAAAATGTTTTTAAGTTATGCATGCAGTAATGGTTGCCAGTACCTGTCCTGCGCTGCGCGAAAAGAGCATTTGTCTCGAAACAATTAAGCTACCATCTAGGGTACTATTTTTTATATATACATATAGGGAAAACTTGAGCCCCCCCCCCCCCCCCCCCC